GCTTTCTTTTTTATATATATAAAATACATATAAAGTATCATTATAGATACAGTATCATTTATATATACATGAAAGACTCTGAACACTTTAAACACTGCAAGGTGCATTATTAATTTATATCAGTATAAAAGCCACTAAAAGGCAGGGAATACATATTTTCTAAACCTGGAGAGAGCAGCCCCACTTCCACCACTCCGAAATCAATTTTAAAATCCAGTGTCACCCAGGAAATACAGGGAAAACCTCCAGTCAGTTTTCATTCTCCTGGTGAAGCCAAGCAAAACAAACCCTCTCCATGCTCCAGCCAGAGAAAAATCTCTTCTTGCTCTTCAGGTTTCTCTAATACATATATATTTATTTTATTTTTTTTTAATTAAATATTTATTTATTAAAATTAGAGCTATTATTATGTGGGTATTTATAGATTGCATGTGCAATGAGGTGCTGGTGGTTTTTCCTGGCAAAGCAACTGGTTTTGCACAAGGATTTCCACTCCCCTAATTAAGCACCTCACTGATGATCAGCAATTAAGAAGAAGGAAAGAAAAGGTGGGGAGACAAAACAGCTTGGACATTTATTCTAAGCCTCAATGTCACCCACGTTTTGGGTTTAAAAACGAGGGGGTGGGGGGAAAAAGGAGAGAAAGCCAAAACACGTGGAAAGGAGAATTTATTTCCCTTGAGAAAGGAAACTTATTTAAGGGTAATTCCTTTTGAAATAGGAGAAAATCCTGCAGATCCCATCAAATCACCCCCAGCAAAGCTGCATTTCCATTGCCACCCTTCCAGCAACTGCTGCCTGGGGCCAAACCACTCGAGTTTTGCCATTTACTAAAACAGTGACAATGATTATTAGTATTATTATTCATTATTTTTAATATTAGGCAGACTTGCAGCCCAAGCTGTTCAGATGTCCCTCATGTTTCTACTTCTCACAGCTGGAAATTACAGCAAATTAAAAGGTACTTTTGCAGCTGGGAACCTGAAAACATCACTGGTTTGGTGACATTAAATGGGCCTTGACTGCATCCCTGCTACTTATTAAACTCATCACTTTTATCCAATCCCTTGTAACAAAGTCAGCACTGGGGTGGTTGGGTTTTAGTATTTACTATCCTCATTTTTATGTATGTCTTTCTCTGCCTTTGGCAGGATTTTCCAAGATTTCAGAGCTCTACAACCTATTTATAAGATGCTGATGCTCACTGCCAGGCTCTGGATAAAAAAATACCCTTGAAGCAGAATTCTTGCCTCACCCTGCTTTAAGCAAAGCATTTTCTGCACCTGTTGAATTTAAAAATCAATTCAAAATTTTAAAATGGTGATTAAAAAAACCCCAAACAAACCAAGGTGATTTTTTTTTTCTTTCTTCCTTTAATTCTCCAAGAGACAACGTAGCAAGAAAAACCAACCCAAACAATTGAGATGCTGTTGGATCCTTCCTATAGGAGCCCAAACCATTTGCCTGGCAGCAGCAGGAGTGATTTTTTTAACTCCTCAGAGGGTTGAGGCTCCTTCCCAACATCATCCCATTTCACTCCTGCCTTCAGAGAAACAGAAACAACCTCCCTGGCAGCAGCTCGAGGAAATCCCTTCCCTGCCTACAGCAGCGAGATGTTGGAGGGGTTTTCCAGCTCTTTTCTCACCAAACCCTATTTTTAAGTGTATCAATACACCAGTAAAAACATATTTATACTAGATTTGGTTATAAAAATCAAGCTCTCCAGGTGAAAGCAGGTGTGGAGCATCAGCACCTCCTGGTTCCCATCCCCAGCGACGCAGAAACACCAGGGACGAGAGCCGAGAAAGGCTCAGGTTGCCCCAAAAAAACCCCAACAAAACACAAATTCCTATTAACAAACAGAGGGTTTTACCCATTTGAGCCCCTCCTGAGATCTGAGTGCCTGGACTGCAACCATAAAAGTGGGATTTTCTACAAATTTAAGGACACACACGAGGCTCCGTTCTCGCCAAACATCACGTTACAAAAGTAAAATCTATCACTTATTGAGGTAAAAGCACGACCCCCCCAACCAGGTGTATTAATATCAAGGAGAACACACCTCCTTTTAGTTGTGAAAATAACACATCAGCCTAAATTAGATCTCAATAACCTGAGGAAACCTGGGAGCTGAGCCGGGATCCAACGTTCGGGATGAAAAAAAAACCCGACAACAAACTGATGCAAAAGAAATTGGCTTTTTTTTTTTTTCCCTCTGGAGTTTAAAAGTCTTTCGTTCCTTTTAAAACTCAGAGAGAAAAGCCTGGCAGAGAACTGAGGTAACAACTCGTGCCTTGTTTACATCCCCCTTCACACACGTCAAAGGTCGAGTCCCAGCTCCGCGCTGCCTTCCCCATCTCTGGCTGGGAAAAGTGATGGGCAGGGCAGATCATCTGGCTCAGAAATATCGATTTGCTGCAGGTGTGCTGGGACAGCATCACTGCTGGGATGGCTTGGGTGGGTTACGATGATTTTTGCTTGGTTTTTGGAAGACTTTTTAAGGCAGGAGAGCGTGTGATCCC